CCCTTCTCGCTGCCGTCTTTCTCCGTGGAGGGAACGGGGTGGGTCTTCCAAGGGCCCCTGGTTGTCCGCCTGTGACCTGTCCCAGATGGCGGCGGCCGCAACCCTCGTTGCCCCAAGAACCCCCTCCCCAGGGAGTTCCATCTTCCAGGGTATGCTGAGGGTCCGGTGCGGGTCGCGCGGGACACCTTTTTTTTTTTTTAAAATTTATTCTTCAGATTTGTCTCCCGCCCTCCCCAGAGGCTCAGGGCGGCTAACAGGGGCACAAGTGCCTAATAAAAACAATAAGAACAGTATAAAAAAATACAATACAATATACAACAATACAATTAATAAGATATCGGTGCTCCACTGCTCTCTCCAAGTCCTAAAATCAAGATGGTGATCTACAGATGTTATAATAATACAACCAGGGCTATTTTTGGGCAGGAACGCACAGGAACGGAGTTCCGGCTGGCTTCCAAGTTGGCCACGCCCAGCAGGAACTCATTAGCATAATAGGCCACACCCAACAGCAGAAACTCATTAGGATTGGCTACATTAGGGGTGTGTGGCCTAACATGCAAAGGAGTTCCTGCTACAAAAAAGCCCTGGGTTTTGACAACAAACAAGGTAAACAGAATAAGAAGCAAAAGGTGGGTGTGGCTGGATGACCACACTTCTGGGAACATGGGGGCGCGGCCTAATGTGCTAATGAGCTGTGCTGTCAGGGTTGTGGCATAATATGCTAATGAGTGGTGCAATCAGGGGTGTGGCCTAATATGCTAATGAGTTCCTGCTGGACTTTTTCTACAAAAAAACCCCCTGAATACTACGACCGTATGTCCCCACAACCTTATCATCCGCCAGGTACGTCTCACCCCCCCGATAGTATCCGCATTGTGCGGTGCGGTGATGGAAAAGCGTTGGTGGAATAATGGTGGTGGCGGCTCCTGCTCGAAAGCCTGGCGGAAGAGCTCCGTTTTACAGGCCCTGCGGAACTGCCCAAGGTTCCGCAGGGCCCAGATCTCTTCTGGGAGCTCATTCCACCAGGTAGGAGCTGCCACCAAAAACGCCTTGCTACTTGCTTTCCCGGGTGGTTTGGCTGGCAATCTTTTGAGCCTCAGCACACGCGGCCTTTGAGGGAGCCGTTGGCCGGGCCGCGAGGACACCACCCAGAGTGTCCTGGGAGAGGAAGGCTCCTCACCTGCGAGAAGCAAACTCCTGCAGGTGTTCCCATCAAGGTGTGAAGCCAAAACAAAAGGGAGGAGGAGAAGAAGCTTCAACCCAGAAGAACGTTACCCTGTCAAGGTGTGAGCCGCCACCTGTGTGGATGGAGACCTGTGTTTGTGCCTCTGGCCGAGGGCGGGGCTGCAAAGCTCCCCAGGCTGATCTTAGGGGTGTGAGGCTTGGGTCATGATAAAGGGTACGGATCAGACCCCGTGATGTATCCTTTATTTGGCACGATTTCAGATGGAACAGGGACATTGCTCGCTCCTCTCTTGTGGGGGCAGAAGATGCTGCATCGGCTTCTTCCTAGATGTGGGGAGACTCGAAAGGATGAGGCCGTTTTATCGGCCATCCAAGCTCGGAAACCTCCTCCTTTTTGATTTCTGTGGGGGCTACACAGAAGCATCCTGTCTTCCCGAGGAGAGGGCCGGGGGACTCTCTGAATTCCTCCTGCTTCCTAAGGAACTTTAAAGGGCAGGCATCCCTGTCTCTTTAACTTTGCTGGTCTTAAACGTGCCGCTGGACGCAAACGTTGTTCTTTAACTGCCAGCCAAGAAGTGTAGTCATGCTAATTACTGTTAATGGTAACTTGCTTTGAAAGGTTTTTATTTTTTTTAAAGAGGCGAACTGCTGTGCTGGCTGAACCACTGTCTGAGCAGCTGGGCTGGAGCAAGAGAGTGGCCCCCCTCCCAGCAGAGCAGTGGGAATCCACGCTAGTCACAGCAGCCGTTGCTCCGGCTACCGGCTCAGCAGGTGGCTGTCATCTTACTGGGGCGGCTGCCTGCAAAGAGTCCTCAGTGCACAGTTATGAATAATGTTCCGCAGTAATAGCACAGAGCAGCTGGACTCCCAAGAGCGTAGCTGCTCTGGCAGGATTTTGATTCCCCACCACCACTGTGGAGGGGGTCAGCATGTGGTGGGCTGCTCCTGTAGTGTTACCCTAATAGGCAATCTCCTAATTAGTCGGGGGAATTAGCTTTATGGAGCCAGAGCGAGAGGGGGTAACTGGGATTCTCCATCTATGTTTATGGGGATTTCCCCCCTCAAATAAACCAGACAGATGTTCTACTGGAAAGGGTTTTTTTGTTAAAAGGGAAATAAAAGGGCAATAGAAGAATAGATGCTTTTGAATTATGGTGCTGGAGAAGACTCTTGAGAGTCCCTTGGATTGCAAGGAGAACTAATCAGTCAATCCTAAAAGAAATCAACCCTGACTGTTCCCTGGAAGGCCAGATAATGAAACTGAAGCTCAAATACTTTGGCCACCAAATGAGAAGGGAGCGCTCACCGGAGAAGACCCTGATGCTGGGAAAGACTGAAGGTAAAAGAAGACGGGGATGGCAAAGGATGAGATGGTTAGACAGTGTTATCGATGCAACGAACATGAAGTTGAACCAACTTCAGAGGACGGCGGAAGACAGGAAGGCCTGGCATGATGTGGTCCATGGGATCGCGAAGAGTCAGACTTGACTGTGCGGCTCAACAACAATAACAACAAAAGGACCAAACACTCATACAAACATACAAACACACTTAAAACATGCAAGCTAGCTAAGAGGAAATCAGGGAAGAAGGGGGAAAGCAATTTTGGGGAAGGCTATAATTACCAGTCTCGAAGACAGAGGTCCACAGAAGCAGCACCAAAATGACCAGTGTTTCATGGAGAGAATAAGAGAAGGCCCAAACAGATTTGTGGGTGTACGTATAGGACCGAGAACACACACACACAAACTGGCGGCTGGGTACTCCAAATATAGGGCAAAATGCTCTCTGGGGTTAGGCTGATGTATTTGCCCTCAAAACAATAACTTGATGGGTTTTTAGAGGTAGACAATGATTTTGGAGAAACTTGACGGGATTTCCTGGACTGTAGGTGAAAATGATGCTTGAGGACCCTGTAAGTACCGAATGGGGAAAGCTACCAGTGCCCCGGTCACACGGGCTGGATATTGCGGGGGGGAGGCGTGGTTAATTGCCCCGGCGCAGTTTGATCCGCGATTACACGATCAGACGTGCCGGCGGCACACCACAGGTCCGTCCCTCCGTGCCGGTGGGTAAACGAGGGTGGCGATCACACGACGATCCTACAGCGCGGCAAAGAAGCGGCACGCTGTGATAACACCAGCAATGACTAGGCGCCGCTGCTGTGACAAACGGGGTCATTTATTATTTTTTTAAAGCCGAAACGGCACTTTCGCTTTTCTCTTTGTGCGCATGCGCTGTTGGGTGCTTGTGCGCATCTTGTGGAGACATGGGGGGGGAAACCCCTATTTGCAAAGGGACATGGGCGGGCGCTGGATGCCACCACGGGAAACGCGATCAGACGCCCGCCCTTGCCCCGCGGTTTCCGGAAACTAGTACCTCGGAGGTACTAGTTTTTAACTCCGCATCTTCGGCGGGAAGCCTCGGGTTAGCCACGGGAGCTCGACGCTTCCCAGATGTTGCGGTGTGATCGCGCCCAGAAAATCCGCCTATCTTCCGTCTCTGTAGTGTGGCTAATGCTCCGTGTGACCGCAGCCTAAGTTTGGTGAATAGTGTTAAGTATTGCTTAATTAGGGTAAATAAGCGAGGGGAGGGGAGGCTGGACAGTTCTCAGGATGAGTTCAGTGTGAGGCAATAGGTTCTTGGGACCCCCATCATTCCTAGCATCTCCCTAGGGTGTGGAGAGAGCTAGCAGGCCACTCTTTCTCACAGTCCTAAAACTATGTCCAGGCATGTCTAGCTGGCATCCATTTTGTGTCATTCTGGGCCCGGCAGTGCATTGCATTTATGATGTTTGGGATGGTGTTCATGATTTCCTAGCTGTAAACTGCCCCTCAGCAAGAGGGGAAACATACTGCAACCACTGAGCCAACACTTACCCATCCCTTGTGTGGAGTTGCAGTGGAACTGGAGGGGCCTGGATCCTGCCAGGCCATAAAGAGCGTGACCGTTCTGGCCACAGGAGCACAGGTAGCTGGTAATCCTCCCAGACAGCAGTCGTACTTCCTCATTGCCACCTTCAGGAGTCGGGGTGAATAGGTAAGTGTGAACGGGGCCTTTGTTGGTCTGTTGCTTCATACCGACACAGCTACCCACCTGAATCGAACAGCAGAGCTGTGTCAGTCAAATGCAGGAACTAGCATACCGACAGCATTGGGAGGGGGGGGGCAGATCTACCAGCCCCAACCTCCCGGCACTGTACCTTCTGCTAGCAGCTGTTGTGTGGAGTTAGGGTAGTTGAGGAAATACACAGAGGATGTGGGCTGGGATTCCTACCTGGGTAGGGGATGTGGTCTTCGCAGCAGGGTCTCCCCTTTGGATTCTGTGCCCTGGGGGAAGAAGTCCTTGTAACACAGCAGAGCAATAGAACAACGTTTTGAGTCCAGTGGCACCTTTAAGATCAAC